ATAAATGAAAAATAAAAATAAAAATAAATGAAGCTGGGCATGGTGGCACATGCCTGTAATCCCAACACTGGGGAGGGTGAGGCAGGAGGGTTGCCATGAGTTCGAGCCCAACCTGGGGTACATCCTGAGCTCAAAGCCAGCCTCAACTACATAGCAAGACACTGTCTCAAAAATAAACAAACAAATAAATAAATAAATAAATGTAAAACTTCAAGCGGAAGGACAGGGATCCTACATGGTAGGTCTGAGATACAAGGAAGAACCAAACAGCAAAGAAAGGACTAGATATGAGAACAAATGCTACTAAACTTTCATGGTACAAAACGACAACAGTAATAATACCTAGTGAGGCCCTTCCGTTTAAGTTTAAAATACAGAAAGCAAAGACTTAGAGGTGAAATAAATGAAGGAAATGCACCACATTACCTGGAAAGTAGATAAAATATTAACTTTAAAGTCTGATAAGTTATTTATGAATGTCTTAACCTGTAATCACTAGACCACAGGAAAATGTGCAACACAGTGGAAGGAAATAAAAAGATGTCTTAAAACTGTCTTTTCTAAAATAAGAGAAGGGGCCCAGGGATGTAGCTTGGTGCCAGAGCATTTGCCACGCATCCACAAAGCCCTGGGTTTGGTTCTCAGCACCACCAAATGTAAGGGAAGGAAGGGGAGAAAAAATAAGCCAAAGAATAGATGAGAAAGCACACAAAAAAAGACGGCAGACTTACACACAAATTGGAAGTTTTATTATACTAATATAGTCAGAAGACTGAAATGACAACATAGACACCATGAATGTTTTGTTGTTGGGTTTTTTTTGGCTTATTAGCCAGTACCAGGAATTGAACTCATGACCTTGTGCTTCCCAGGCAGGCGCTGTGCTGCTGAACTAAATCCCCAGCCCTGCCGTGAATGTTTTAAATAGCATCTTTCCCCAAAGCCCACTCACTCCTCTCACATAAGAGACAAGCAGGAACCTTTACATGATGATGCAAGCTGCCCTTTGTGACACGGCTGTTCCTTGACATCACAGTGTATCCCTTGCCTCTGAGCCAAAGGAGGTACCACATACATTTTCTACCTCCCAGTGTGGCTGCTGTAGGTTTTGCTCTTCTGCCTGGCGCACTGTTTGCTAACCCTGTCCTCCCAGAAGTGTCTCTGACAGCGCCAGCGGAGTTCCAAGGGCCACCACTGGGCAGAGGACAGCTCCTTCTAACAAAAAGGCTCTACTGGGAGGTACGTTTCCTTTAGACTCTGGGCATCGGGATACTCAACTTCAAGGACTGCTCATGGATCTAGAGGTCTTAGAAATTTGTCCTTACAATCCTCGCCACCGAATTCCACTCAGCAGATTCCAGTACCACCTGGCATCATGCAAGAGAAAGAACCCCAGGAAAGCCAGAAAGATGGCCAGCTGCAAGTACAATGCCTGCCACGTGGTGCCTATCAAAAAGCTGGAGGAGCACGAGGCTGCCTGTGCCAACAGAAGCGCCGTGGAGGAGGAGGGCAGCGGAGGCCCTCTGGAGGTTACTCTTGCAAGTTCGGAGCAGAACGCTGAAGCCCTGGAGGTCTCACCCTCCCTTTCCACCTCTGATATCTGGAATGTTGATGACACTGAGAGCCACCCTAAGTTTGTCCTGAAGACTTTTGTTCCCCAAAAGCTTGTTTGTGAAAGCGACGCGGGAGAGTCCGAGAGAGAGACCAACCCCCAGGAGATCATCAGATTGGCAAAGTAAACCACCAGCAGCAGGAGGGTCTCACAGAGGCATGGGAGGACATGCTACTCACCAGAATAAAAGGCATATGAAATCAACTGCCCTCGGGTGCCTTTTTCGCCATCACCTAGCCGAATGGTAAATATCAAAAACCTTACAAACAGCCCCGCTGGAAAAAGAAAGGTTTATAACATTGGTGAGAATGTAAGTCAATCCAACCTCAGAGAGGGCAGTTTGACAGTAGCTATACATAAGCTTTCACCAAGCAATTCCACTTCTAAGTCTTTATCCTACAAATACACGCATGCAGAAGATGAGGTAGGTACAAAGGTCTGATCTGGATACACATTAAGAGGGCCTAAGGGAATTGTAGGATGGCTTTACAAGGAAAAAATATATCCTGTAACTTAAGAGGCCGGCAAACCTGTTCTACAAAGGAGCAGACAGTAAAGACTTCAGGCTTTGCCAGTCACACGGGCACTGTTGTGACTAGTCCGCTCTGAGCGTGAAAGCAGTCAGCTAACATGTAAACCAGTGAATGGAGGTTCCAATAAAACTGCACAGAAACAGGTGGCAGGCTGGATTTGGCTAGCGGGACAGTCTGCCACCCCCCTGTTTAACTGATAAAGCCAAGTCCAGAGTCTACACAGTATGCCACCATTTCTACAGGGTTCAGGGAGAAGACATGAATATGTATCTCTGTATGTGCTTAGATTTGCATACTATTTCATTTCGGGGATACGCTAGAATGGGCTCTGCCCGCCATGCCTTCTGTGGTTGCCATCTGATCCTTACGAGAAGTGTTCTGACCTCTTCCCTAGAAACGGCCAGCTGCCATTAGGAGGACACTTAGGTAACTCTGGGACAGGAAAGAGACCTTGACCTCTACATGCAAATATATGCAAATGTTATCTGAGCATGAAATCAAAGTGCATATTTTTTAAAATAACAGATGGAAGACTTTAAGTCTTTCCTCAGATTTTCAGCAAAAAAAAATCTTTAACTGCTAATTTGAAAAAATATTATCATTTTGCCACCATCACACCCTTGTCCCTTCAACTGCTTCCATAAAGTTAATGGGGGGGGCGGGCACTATGTGTTGACCTTAGGAACTTCTTAATCTAAAAGTGGAGAATTAGTCGGGCATGGTGGCGCAAACCTGGAATCCCAGCACTCAGGAGGCTGAGGCAGGAGGATCGTTGTGAGTTCAAGACCAGCCTGGGCTACAAAGTGAGCTCAAGGCCAGCCTGAACTGCACAGGGAGACCCTGTCTCAAAAAGACCAAAAACAAACAAGCAAATAAATAAATAAATAAAACTGGACAATTGCCATATAGGAATTAAGGAAAATAAAGGCATCTAGAGGGTTTACAACTGTAACTGTAGGCCAGTAAGACCAAGAAAAGGAGAAATTAATCAATTTGGGGTACAAGGAAAACAAACTGATCATGAGTTCATCACTTCTGAAGATGAGTGAGGGCAGATTTTGTTCCTTCTATTTGTATTTAAATTTTTCTTTTGCTCTTCTGTACATTTATTTACTTAGGTGCTGGGGATTGAACCCAGGACCATGTACATATTAACCACACACTTTACTCCTTCTCCACTTTTACATAAATGTGAAGTTTCAAATACGTATCAGATGCAATGTAGAATCCAGGATTGGGTCCCGACACTGAAAAAGACCTGAGTGGAAAAACTGCTGAAATCCACATCAAGTCTGGAGTGCCATTGGACCAGTGTTACCTTCCTGGCTTTGTTAAATGTACCATCACTTGTACGATGTGAGTGTCAGGAGCTGGGCAGAGCACATATGGTACTCTTCCTACCATTGGCAAATTTTCTGTACATCCAAAATGATTTTAAAGCTGGGCATGGCGGGGCATGCCTGGAACCCCAGCCCTCTGTGAGGCAGAGTCAGGAGGATGACAAGTTAGAGCTTGGCATAGTAGTGACTTAGCAAGACACTGCCTCAAAATTAAAAAGGTAAAAAGGAGCTAGAGAGGTACCTCAGTGTGAAGGCCCTGGGTTCACTCCCCAGTAGCAGACATACTCAGGTACACACACACAGCAAAAATAAACTTCCCACTGGACATAGTGGCAGCACCTGTGCTCTCAGATACTCAGGAAGCTAAAGGCAGGAAGATCACTTAAAGCCCAGAAATTTGAGACCAGCTGGGGAAACATAGCAAGACCCCGCCTCCTAGATCAAAACCAAACAGGTAAGGAAGGGTACTGCTCAGAACAGTCAGTGAAGAACAAATATGTACAGTAAAAAAACCCAAATATGTACAATAAAAATTTTAAATGGTTTCTAAGATAAAACATTTTACATTTTCTAAACTAGGCAAAAGGAGAAAAGAGATCAGATAACAGAAAACCTTTATAAATTCAAAAAAGGGAAGAAAAAGCAAATGCAAAACTATACAGTAGAAATAAATCCAAATATATCAATATACCATACAAATGCAAAGGGATTTAACTCATCTACTTAAAAACCATTCTATTTAATTCATGAAGTACATGCCCCTTCTGACCCCAAACAGCCAATACCTCTGGGTCAGAGATAAATACTGTGTGCCACCAACATCTCCCATATACACAACAGACATAACTAATCGACTGTAGCTCTTTCCTGAGGCTGGATAATACATTCAGAATCCTCAATATGATGCTACTGCTACATGGTGATAGAAATCAGATTGACAGAGCTCCCCGTTGCTACGGCTTGGTTCTACTAGGCTCACTGTCACCCAACAGGCCTGACTCAAAAGTGTGCTAGGAAGAGAAAAGAAATACGGGAGCATAAAACTCCTGTCTGAGAACTAGAAAGACCTGGCCAAAAAGGAACACCGATTCTGTACTCCTGAGCTAGACCTCAGCCAACTCTTCTCTCTTCATCCCTCATATCCTGCCTCCACTGGGCCTGTCTCTTGGACAAGTCATGAAATCCTCACAGCAACAATGACCGTGCCCACTGAGCGCTGAGGCTGAGACTGCCCCAGTACCTGAGTCATAAAGGGGAACAGGGAAGCAGGCTGCGGAGGGGCAGGCTTTCCAGGGTCCTGGTGAGGACTCCTGGCAGGAGGAAGCTAGTGGAGAACTTGCATCCTGGGGCAAAAGAAATGGGATGGAGAAGCTGCAATGGGAACATGTGCCCCGCTGTTATGCTGTTATCTTATTAAGTCCCAGTCATGACACTGTGGGGGAAGGGTAGGCAAGTATTTTTATTTCCACATACAGATTAAAAAGTGAGTTCTAAGCCGGGCATGGTGGCGCATGCCTGTAATCCCAGCACTCGGGAGGCTGAGGCAGGAGATCTTTGTGAGTTTGAGACTAGCCTGGACAACAAAGTGAGTTCAAGGCCAGTCTGAACTGCATGGGGAGACCGTCTCAAAAAGACCAAAACAAAAAAAAAAAAAACAGTGAGTTCCAAGGGCTGGGTATAGCTCAGCAGCGTGGCACCTGCCTGGCAAGCATAAGGTCCTGAGTTCAATTCCTGACACCAAAAAAAAGGTGAGTTCCAACAATAACATAACTCACCATGCGCTAAGTGGCCTAATGGAACCTGTCCCCAACAATTCCACTCCTCGGCATGTAAAAACCGAAAGTGTGCATAAGAGCTCACCAAAATATGAAGACAAGATGCACAGGAGGGCACTGCTGATAACAGCCTGACTAGAAACTGTGCGCTCTCCCTTCAGGAAGAGGGGTAAAAGTGGAAAAGTCACATAGCAGAGTACTAGGCAACTGTGAAGTATATAAGAAGAGTAGATTTTGGCCAAGTGTGGTGGTGTGCACTTGTAATCCCAGCACTCGGGAAGCTGAGGCAGGAGGATTGCTGTTTGAAGCCAGCCTGGGCTACAAAGTGAGTTCAAGGCCAGCTTGAACTGCATAGCTAGACCCTGTCTCAAAAAAAAAACAAACAAAAAATTGAAGAGATTTGGAATGTTCTTATCACACCAACAGGCAGGTAGAGACATGCAGCTAGTAATAGTCCAGGTCCTTGGGACCCGTCAGAGCATCATCAGGGTGGCAGAAGTGCAGGGAGCAAGTAAGAACCCAGTAGCACCCACTTTCCCGGTGCCGCCAGCCCAGAGAACAAGCAAGGCAGCATCATCGCAATGGCTGTGGACTCCAGAATCCTCCACCCACTGGTTTCCGGCATGCTCTGGGAACCCCAGGGCTTCCAAACTACGGTACTCTCTGGTCAAGCCCAGGGTGCATGCTCATTTTCCTGCAGGGTTTTTAACGGTCACAATCTACACCTGTATAGGTTAGTTACTGCCATGATAATGCTAAGTAACAAAACTGCCTCAACATCCAGGTTTTAAGACATTCTTATCCTGTGTTATTTGCAGTATGGCTAATCTAGGTCCATAAAAACAACAAAAACAACCACGACTGGATGTGGTGGCACACACCTGTAATCCTGGCTCCTGGGAGGCTGGGCCAGGACAGTCAGAAGTTTACGGCCAACTTGGGCAATTTTGCAAGACCCTGTCTCAAAAACTTAAAGGGCTGGGCAGAAGCTACACATGGCGGGACATGCCTGTAATCCCAGCATTTGGGAGGCTGAGGCAAGAAGACTGTGAGTTCAAGGGCCAACCTGGACTACACAGCAAGATCCTTTCTCTAAAAGATGGGGGGGATAAGGAACCAGCTCAGTGCTTCTGCACTTACTCAGCATTTGTAAGGCACTGAGTTCAATCCCCAGTACCACAAAACAACACACCGGCTTCCTGGGCACCTCCTATTCTGGATATTATAAGCAAGAGAGTTTTGTCTCTGGATAAAGAATCACTTCTGAGGGGCAAGGGGAAGTGGAAAGGGAAATAAGTAGAATAGAGATATGCCACACACAGGAACCTAATCACATCAATGAACGTAAACATTATATGCCATAAACATGAGGTAAGATTAATAACATCAGTAAGAATGAGGATGGGGAAAAGAGATAGGAGGAGGGGGGAATGCGGAAGGAAGTAATTGGGGGAATAAAAAAAGGAAGCTGAAGCCAGGCGTGGTGGCACACACCTGTAATCCCAGCACTTGGGAGGCCGAGGCAGGAGGATTATTGCGAGTTCGAGACCAGCCTGTGCTACAAAGTGGGCTGAAGGCCAGCCTGAACTGCATAGTGAGACCCTGTCTCAAAAAGACAAAAAAAAAAGGAAGCTGCATTTTGTACATGTATCCATTCCCCACAATGACTATAAAATGCATGTACTGCAAACATGTACTAATAAAAGTGAAAGGGGAAAAAAAAAACACTCCCTTCACAACTGCTGCCCAACAGCAGACCTGATGCAGTGTAACTGAAGCACCTCTCCATCAGTGCAAGCTGTAAAGCAAAGGCCAGAAAACTGCTTGATGAGGATGTTAAAGAGCGGGTCTGAAAGTCAGAAAAAGGCTTCAAAGACTCGTGGGCTTCAAAGGTCTTCTTTGACCTACCTACTGCTGCAAACCCACAAATGGCCACCAGGTGGCAACAGGGTGGCACCATCACGGCAAAGCTTTTATCAGCCTGCATGCAGCAATTCTCCCAAACCCCACAATCAAAACATAAACTAAAATATGTAACTGTCACATGGTCTATCAATCTTACCTCTGAGTTCCAAAGGGATTAAAATCAGAGCTTTCAAAACATAGCCTTAGCTGGGCGTGGTGGCGCACGCCTGTAATCCCAGCACTCAGGAGGCTGAGGCAGGAGAATTGCTGCAAGTTTGAGATCAGCCTGGGCTACAAAGTGAGCTCGAGGCCAGCCTGAACTGCACCCTGAGACTGACCCTGTCTCAAAAAGACTGAAAAAAAAATGATAGCTTTACATCCATGTTCATAGCAACATGATTCACATTAGTGGAAAGGTAGAAATGGCCCAAGTGCCCACTGAAAGATCAATGGATAAACAAAGTAGGGCATATCCGTGCAATGGAACATTATCCAGCCTAAAGGGAACCTGACACATGCCACAACAGGGCTGAATCCTGAGGACAGTGGTAAGTGAAAGTCTGCCATAAAGCGACAACTACCGTATGATTCCACCTAAACGAGAAGACAGGAATGGTGGCTGCCAGGGCTGAGCAGAGGAAGATGAAGATGCAGCGTCACGGCACCCTAACGCAAGACGTTAAAGTTCGGAGCTTGGATGCACAACTTACGGCGTGTGTCTAGACGGCCCCCTCAAAGCCCCGTGTGGCCATAGGTAGGGCTTTTTGGGGCAGCTGAACCTAGGGTGTGACGCTGGGATCGATCAGGGTGCGGTTAGGACCGAGGGCGAGTGCTGGTTGTCGCTTGTCACTTGCCGCGCTGCTTCTTCACGGCTTTGCTGCCTTCTGTCCAGGATGGACTGTTTCTGCAACGCCCCTGCCGTACCACCCCGCCTCGGAGCCGGCCAAACATGAACTAAAACTTGTCTTAGTGAGAAAAGTAACTAACAAACAGCAAAACACACTGAACACTATGAACTGTACTCTTAGAAAAGATTAAGATGGTAAATTTTGTGTTTTTCTCAAAAAAAAATTTTTTTTTTTGTTTTTTCTTTTTGAGACGGTCCTCGCCATGCAGTTCAGGCTGGCCGTGAGCTCACTTTGTAGCCCAGGTTGGTCTCACACTCGCAATGATCCTCCTGCCTCAGCCTCCCAAGTGCTGGAATTACAGCCATGTGCCACCCCACCCAGCACTTATCAAAATTTAAAAAACAGGGGCCAAAGATATAGCTCAGTGGCACACGCGCTTGCCTGGCAAGCACAAGGTCCTGAGTTTGATTCCCGATACCAAAATAAAATAAAATAAAATAAAAAAAGACAACCAGCTGAGTGTAGCCTGAGAAAGGATTCAGTCTTGAGTAGCCTGAGTGAGGCCTTCAGGTCACCGCAGTCCCCTGTAGGACCGAGAGTACCTCATGCTGAAAGACACTGTATGACCCATTGGATTTATTAGTTTTCTGTAATCTCATCTTTCCTTTTGCCTAGTTTGGGAAACACAAAATATTCTTAAAGACTATTTTGGGGAGGGGGGTGTTTTGTTTTTTGTCTTTTTGGGCAGGGTCTCACTGTGCAGTTCAAGTTGGCCTTGAACTCACAATAATCCTCCTTCCTCAGCCTCCCCAGTGCTGGGATTACAGGGGTGTCCCACCATGCCCGGCTTTTTTTGAGACAAGGTCTTACTACATAGTTCACGCTGGCCTTTAACTCACTGGGAGGCTGGGGATTTAGCTCAGCGGCACAGCGCCTCACCAACAAGCACAAGGTCATGAGTTCGATCCCCCATACACGGGAAAAACAAAACAAAACAAAACAATGTCCATCTTAACTCACTACATAGCCTAGGTTAGCCTTGAAACAATTCTCCTGCCTCTGCCTCAGGAGCACTGGGATTATACACATGTGCTACCACACCCAGGCTTCATATTTATACATATTGTTATTCAATGTTACTGTCCTTCTGAACAGTACTCTTCCCTTCTAGAAGTTCTGGTTTTGTTTTTTTTTTTTTTTTTTT